TTAGCGGGTGATGCTAATTAGCCGCCCGAACCACCAAGTGGCCAGTCGACACAACGGGGACTAAGCGTGTTGGCAAACACGTGAACCTCGGGAGAAAAATCATCGTGTCAACCTTGTTCTTCCCGTTGGTTTGCATCCCATTACACAAGCTTGCAATTACTTATATATATATCTTAAGCTTGTGTAGTTGCTCTTGTAATTAGATAGCTTGTGTAGCTAGCTAATTACCTTCTTACTTGTGTAGCATAGAAGTAGCTCCCTTGCGTGACTAATTTGGTTTTAGTAACCTTATTAGTCACATTGCTTAGTTTGTGTAGCTAAGTATTTGCGCTCTCTAATTAGGCGTTGGTTGCCTTGTTATTGAGCATTGCTAGTGAGCTTAGTTAGCTTTGTGCTTTTGCTTACTAGCATGTGTAGGAGCTCCCTTGTTACTTAAAGTACTAGTGGCATAGGTTTGTGTGACCTTGCTCCTAGAATTGTTTAGGAGAGCTCTAGCTAGCCCGACACCTTAGTTGCTTTATTAGTATCTTTGCAAGGTGCTAGTGAACATATATAGAGGGGTGTAGTCTTGGCTAGACCGATTATTTTAATTCCGCATTTATATCGGTTAGCCGACGCGATTATTTTTAGAAAAGACTATTCACCCCTCCTCTAGTCCGCCATCTCGACCTTTCAACTTTCCTAAGCCTGTGGTGGCAAGCAACCAGTAAGTATGCTAGAACTGCATGGATCGTGGATGGACCAGCTATGTTGCATGGTTGATACTTTTGATGAACCTGATATGTATTAATCATGTATGGTTGCATAATGGTGGACGTCACCTTCTGAAATTATTGTTGCATGAACATTATAAACATGTGTGTCCTATTTTTTATAGCTCAACAGCCAGCTCGAGTTTGGTAACGAGCCGAGCTAAACTACCCCTTTAGCTCATAATATTAATGAGCCAAGCCGAACTGACTCGTTAGTCTAACGAGCCAGCTCGAGCTGAACCGAGCCGAGCCGAACTGGCTCGATATGTAGCAATATGTCTAAGTTGTGGTGGAGAAAACTGTCGAAGTTGTGGTGGAGAAAACTGTCGCCTAAGGTTCGGCAAAAAACTGAACTGCGGAAGTTGCGGCGGCCACAACCTAGTTACGAACTAAACAACACAATGGATATTTGTGGCTGTCGTTTGTTGTGGCGTGGCCCGCTGTGGCGTGTAATCAAACACGCACTACATGACGCTTTGGTGGCTGCTACTACTAATGTGGTATTATTGTACTGTACCCTACAAACAGCCGCTGCCAGTGCAGAGTACTGGTTGCAGCGAACGCAATCCATTACCCGCTGGAACTGCACCGCGCAGCACGACTGCGGACGGACTGCCCGCCCCTCCCCCTGAATCATGAGAAACGGCGACGAGACACGTCACCTCTGTCAATTACAGTACGTCTGCCCCGCAAGTGGCGCAATAAAATCCAAGGGCTCCGATCGGCGAGTTGGATGTCCCGCTCAAAGCTCACCGCAGGTGACTGCACCCTCCCCGCGGCAGCTGCAGCTCTTGTAGTCTTGTCGGACGTCCAAAAGGAATCTCCATCACGCGCGTGACACGGTTGCCTTTGCCTCCGTCGTCCGCGGTCCGCCCGTGCCCCTCCCCGCCCTGCTTTTCTCTCTCGCTCTTCTACGGTGGCCAGGCCAGGGCCGTCGTCTCCGCCCGTTCAACTCCAGCCAGGGCAGCCACAGCCAGATCCAGACCCCTACCACTACTGGCCAGGGGGCGCTGCTGCTCCGGTCCTGTCGTGTCGATCACTCCATCTCCCGTCCACTTCACCACCCGAACCGAGAGTCTTTTTTTTATTTCAACAAATGTGGGTTTTTCCGCGAGCACGAACACGTAACGGACCCCTCTCTCTCCGTCCTGTCTCCTCAGTCCTCCCTCCTCTCGCCGCGCGGCAGAGAGAGCACCACGATATGTCCAAACGCGTCGGTTCCAGCTCGCGTGCGGCCCGCGAGATATCCCCGGTGCCGGGCCCCGTGGTTTCTAGAGAGATCCAGCACCACCCGTCCAGAGACCGGACACGGCTGGCCCGGGGTGGGCGCCAGAGACCCGTCGCTGTCGGCCTCTACCCTCTCGCTCGCTATTCCTGGTCCGCGTCTCTTCTCGTGTCGTGCCCGCCTGCCGCGGACGGCGAGACGCGAACGCAATGCCGCGCGCGGGTCCTCCTCCTCCTCGCTGGCTCGCGTGGCTCGTCCGCGCGCGAGATTTTCGCGTGCGCGACGCGACGCGACGACGCGACACGAGAGGGACGACGAGGAGATGAGGTTAGCTCACCTTACCCTTCCTTTCTTGAATTGGCGACGCTTTGCTGGGCGTCGTTCAGCATCGCTCAGCAGCCAGGGAAAAGATGTGGGCGTTGCCTTTTCGGATTGGGTGCTCAGTGCTCTGGTACACCCGCGCACGGGCTTTTGCAACTTGCCGAGGAAGCATCTCCTTACCTTACTTGCAGTGCATGGTTAATATAAATAATTTAATGTTTCTTGGAGATTGTTTGTTTTACGTATTAAGCGTAAACAAAATAATATTTTTTTCCTACACAATCGTACTGCAACTTTTGCTATCAAAATTACTTGCAGTCGCCCAAACAAAACGGTAACATGATGATGGATCAAAATAACTTTACGCATCAGCGAACGTTCTCTACACTATGTACTACTGCCTACACTGCTATCAAAATTACTTGGTAGGATGCTGAAAACGGTAACATGATGATGGCTGTCCCTATACTCTACTACTACTACATCAGTCGAAAATTCTCTACCGCCTCTCCCTATGTACCGGGGAAAAAGAAATGCGGAGTACAACTAGTTAAATTGTCAAAGGAAGCCTCTGCATATGTAGTTAACGGAGATTAATTGCAATGCAAGCAATCTAGGATCACATTGAAGAAACACATATATAATCAAATTACATGATTATATTTTGGCGTGTAACTATGTGCTCCCAAGCAAAATTAAACACTATCATAGCGCAATTAATTAGGTCCAGTTAGCTGATCTAAGTACTTTATTCAAATCTATATCACTAGGACTACCGATTCATAATGTAAGAACATATATATCCACAGCTTCATATGGCTAACACAAACACAATTAAAATGGATTTACGACACTAGTTAAGTATACGAGTTAGAACGACATATATTCAATAACAATATAAAGTGATTCTCAATGAAATATATTAAAACAGATAACGTCATCGTCGAATAAATATCTAAACTTCAAAATTGTTATTACCATACAATAAGAGGGAGAAAAATAGGAACAAAAAGCATCGGTCTTTGACTCGCGCAAGTCTATCACCTATCCTTATAGGCTATGTTTGTTTAGCTCTAGTTTAATATTTCCTAGATGTGTCTAAATACCGATAGAAATTTTAGGAGCTCTAGAAAATCCTGGATATAAGCTATGTTTGATATAGTTAAGTACATTTACATGACTCATTACATTTTAGCTTTTAGGTCAAACAAAAAATATCCGAACCACCTTAATTTAATTTGCAAACTAGATCTAGCATAGATCTCGAAACTAGAGCTGTGCCAAATAACTCTCAACTCTTTCGAGGAGTCAACCAATCTCAACTCTGATTAGATTTATAGAAAAATAATACTAATATTTGTATCTCCAAATAGGTTTACTATAAAATATGTAACGTAATAATCTAATGATGCTTATCTAGTATCACTAATATTAATATGTTTTGATATAGATTTAGTTAAAGTTTTAATTGTTTGACTTCTCAAAATATAAGGAGTACTCTTTCCGTAAAATAAACACATATCTCGCTTCCCAAGGAATTAAATATTTTTAAGTTTAACCAAAAAATATCTAGTATTAATTTATGTATCTCTAAATAAATTTATTATAAAAATATATTATATACTTATTCTAATAATACTTATTATAAGTCATAAATATTATTATATATTTAGTTATTAAACTTTAAATGGTTTGGTTTCTCGATAAGCAAGACATATGTTTATTTTGGCACTATGTAGAGTAGGTAGTACTTCCTCTGTCAAAAAAAATAATACAACTATAAGTTACATGTCAATTAAAGTGGTTCACATTGGATCAAGTTTTTAATAATAGTATTCATATTTATGGTATCATAAATATTAAAATACATATCTTAAAATGGTACTTATTTAATAATTGATTAATATTTTTATTTATAATTGATCAAATTTAAAATACTAAAATGTGTGCTATAATTACATCTGGCAAAAGCCTCCACCTCAAAAGCCTCGTAAATGCGAGGCGGCTGGCAGAGGATTGCCCACGTGACCCTGGCCCAGTCCCCTCCTTCAGTCGGTGCCGTGCGCCACTGTTTGTTTGAACGCCGCTGATCCGAGAAACCGCGCGACGGATGCGAACCGCCTTCCCCGGTCCGAACCAACCACGCGTAGGAAATGGAAGCCGCCAGTCTCGTCTCGTCTCGCGCGGCGGCAAACAACCCCCGATCGAGATCGAGCCGAACCGCCCGCCCTGCGTCGCGCGATCTCTACCGTCTCGCGCGCACGTCGTCCTCACGACCGGACGCCAGCTCACGAATATCCATCCGATTTAATCCCGGCCCCTTCGATTCCGCCGCTCCCGACCTATCACATAAGTAGATCCACCTATCGATAAGCTATCCTACTTATCAATAAGGACACTGGCTTCTCACAGATAAGCCAGTGGCGGGTGGCGTGGGGAGAGAGAAAAGGGCGAGAGGTCTGCAACGCATCGAAGAAAGCGAGACTAAAGTTCCAACCCAGCCCTCTTCCACATCTCCGCTTCTCTCTCGCCTCCGCTTCGCTCGCGAGAGAGCCGAGAGGGGGCCGACGACGGAACCCTAGGATTCGCGCCCGCCTGGGCGGCCGAGCCACCAGGACCGCGCCCTCCGGACTCGGGGCTGCCGGCCAAGCTCCAGGGCGCGCGGATCGAGCACCGGGCGGGTTGCCGCCGCCGCCGCCGCCATGTCGTCGCTCAGCCGCGAGCTCGTCTTCCTCATCCTCCAGTTCCTCGACGAGGAGAAGTTCAAAGAGACCGTGCATAAGTGCGTACTCCCCTTCGTCTCCTTGCGTTGGTTACCTGGGTTGGTGGGTGGGTGGGTGGATCGTTCAGGCTCTTATACGCTTTAGGCCTTGTTCGGTTGGGTGGGGAACCATTCCAGTCTCTGGCTTCCTTCGATAATTTACGAAGCATCGGAACCGTTTCGGCCCGGAACGGCTCGGAACAGTGCTAACCGAACGGGGCCTTAGGGGATTTGATTTGTCGCGCAGCCTGTCCTGTTTCCGCGTTTTTGTCATGAAATTCGGCCAGACGCGGCTCTGTTTTTTTTTCTTAAGTCAGTTTCTTCTCCTCTGGTTCTGTGCTTGGACGAGTTGCTGGTAAAAAAATTCTAAGGCTTTTTTCGATTTGCTATGAACTGTGTAATAGCATATAAAGTTTGGGGTTATTTTGGTCAAAAGACATTTTATCCTCCTCGTGGGTTTCTCAGTAGTAGTCGTTGTTTTTATTTAATCCGTCTTAACTTTTCTTTTATTCCCGAAAAATTGAGGGGCACATTTAGAATATGGAGCTTGCATGTGGGTTACTACACCAATCGCGTGCTTTTGTCCGTCTTCTCTGTTACTTAATTTTGTCGAAACAAGTGAGGCTCATGGATTAATTTAATTAATTAACACTCTGATTGGTGTACTTGTGCTTTGGTCTCCTTGTCGTGTCTTGAGGTTAATAATCAGGAAACGACGCACCAGACGGTAATTTAGCTGGATTGCGTCATTTCAACCAGATAGTTGGAACTTGTAGGACGTGCTGTTGCACTCTGTTCTGTTGGCTCCAAATTTTTGCATTGAGGAAAACACACGGTTGGTTAGTCAGAATTGGACTATGTGACTTTTTGTCTTTGACAATACTTGGTTGGCCATTTAGGATAAGTTTTCAAGCTCAAATCTTGCAGTGTGGCTGGCTGCTTATTCAATGTTTTTCAGTTTTGACCATTGGAGTTGTGGGCTCTTTAGTGTGCTCATTCTGTTGATTGGTGGCAAAATTTGACAACCGATGTTTTCCCACGTTCATTTCCCCCCAGAAATGGAACTACATGTGGGTTGATATTCTATATGTAGTAATTCCCTACGTCACATTGTGTTGTAGGCTTGAGCAAGAGTCAGGCTTCTTCTTCAATATGAAGTACTTCGAGGAGAAGGTTCATGCTGGGGAATGGGATGAGGTGGAGAAATACTTGTCAGGTTTCACCAAGGTAGATGACAATAGGTATTCGATGAAGATCTTCTTTGAGATCAGGAAGCAGAAGTATTTGGAAGCGCTTGATAGGTACTGTTCTTTCATATTTCAAACCTCATTTGAATGAGGAACTGGGTTTTCGATCCATTGTTTGGGGAATTGTAGAACTGTATTGACTTTTTTTTTTCTTTCTCTATGTTCCAAACAGGCATGATAGAGCAAAGGCCGTAGATATTCTTGTCAAGGATCTTAAAGTCTTCTCAACATTCAATGAGGAGTTATATAAGGAGATAACACAGCTTCTCACTCTTGAGAATTTTAGGTTTGTTCATTTTGCTATCTCAATCCATGGCATCAGATTGTTGAGAACCAATTAAAATAAATATTTCTTAGAGCTTCTTACAGTCTTACTCCTTAGATTTTTTGAGATAATCATTCAAAATGCTTCTCCTGTTTGGTGCATTGCAATTAATGTATCTTCACTGGTAATGAAAATAGGACATTTACTAATAGATCATGAACCATTAGGAAGCCATGGCAAGCAGCTGGTACAGATATGTTAACTGAGTAGACGTGCAAGCTGGCAACGGCATAAATTGTTAGCTGCCGGATGCTTATTTGCAAATGATAGAGGTTTGTTTAAGATATTCATTTGATAGCTTTTATGTTATGCTGTGTTTTCCTGTATAATTTTATGAAAAATATTAGTTGATTAACAATATAATTTTGTTACCACCTTACAATGTTTTATTCCAAGTATTACCTGCTGCTTCTGTTTTAAATTTTTAGCTCAAATTATCAAATGAACGTTGCTTTCTTGCAGGGAAAATGAACAGTTGTCTAAGTATGGGGATACTAAATCAGCTCGAAGTATTATGCTGGTTGAGCTAAAAAAACTTATTGAAGCCAACCCCCTTTTCCGGGAAAAACTTGTCTTCCCAACTCTCAAGGCATCACGCCTCCGAACTCTAATTAATCAAAGGTTTGAAAGTAATCTAATGTTGTTACATTACTGGACATTCTGTTTTCATTCCAATATTTAGTGTGATCATGATTTCCCCCCCAAATGTGCAGCTTGAATTGGCAGCATCAGCTTTGTAAGAATCCTCGTCCAAATCCAGATATCAAGACTTTATTTACTGACCATACGTGTACTCCACCCAATGGAGCTCGTGCATCACCGGTATCTGTACCACTGGCAGCTGTTCCAAAGGCTGGTGCCGCATATCCACCACTCACAGCTCATACTGTATGTTTGCTTGATCATTTTCTGCTCGTGCATGGCTTTTATGATGTTTTTTTTGTTTTTACATTATGCATTTATTTATGCAGCCATTCCAACCTCCTCCACCTGGTCCATCTTTAGCTGGTTGGATGGTGAATGCAGCTGCCTCTTCATCTGTTCAGTCTGCTGCTGTAGCAGCAGCATCAATACCTGTTCCGCCCAATCAAGGTATGCAAGTGTGGTGCTACATTTCTGTTAAAGTTCATCTGGTTGTTTGTTTTGAACATATTGTTCCGCACAGTGGTTAATTTGATCTGCATTAATACATTATAACAATTTTCTATTTTCTGTGCAATTCAATTAATACATTGAACACATATATTTGTAGTTTAGTATGCCTTTGTACTTTGTACCAGTCCATTCCAGAAACAATTACACATGTGAAACTTCAGTTCCAGATATATATTAGATGCTTCTAATTTGTTATAATTTACAAAGTACTCAGTGATTAAACATGATGTAGCTGATATGCATTGATGGCTTCAATCCCATTCTACATGTGAAATAACACTATTCTTTGGTAGGTTTAATGTTGTTTGCTCTACAGTTCCGGCAGATTCTTATGTTTTTGTGTTTTTTATACCAGTCCATATAGTAATAAGTATGATAATTTGGTGCAGCAATTAATTAGTAATGTTATACTCTTTCAGTTAACCTGTAAAGGTTTTGCTCAGAAAAAGGGCCATTCAGTTTTGCTTAGAACCGTTGTGTACGTTGTCATGTGGAAATGTATTTATGTTGTCAATTATATGCATGTCTCAAAACTTCACATGACGTCATTTATATTACATTGTTTCGTCAGCTGTCTCCATGTTGAAACGCCCAACTATAACAGACTATCAAAGTGCAGAGTCAGAGCAACTAATGAAGCGCTTGAGGCCTGGTGGACATGGCGTTGATGAGGTAATATTGCATTTGCAGTTTTGCACTTAGAAAATATGACATTTTTGGATTTTGTATGAATTTTAATAATCAATCATGCTTATGCAGGCCACATATCCTGCTCCCATCCCTCAACCTGCATGGTCAGTGGATGATCTTCCAAGGACAGTTGCTTGTTCATTGTCACATGGATCTAATGTAACTAGCATGGATTTTCATCCAACTCGCCATACACTGCTTCTAGGTATGATCAAGATAACTGTGTTATTTGATTATCTTTATTTATAAAATGTGGTATGCACTGTTTCATGTAACCTGTGTGAATCCTAAACTTGGCTATACATCAATTTATTAATTTTCTTACCCTGTGTTTTACTACACAGTGGGATCTGCCAATGGTGAATTTACACTTTATGAGATCGGTTTGCGTGAAACATTACTTTCAAAGCCCTTCAAAATTCGGGATATAAATGCATGCTCACCGCAATTTCAGGTATTCAAATGCAAGCTGAAGTCTTAGCTGTAATTTACTTCTGATATCTATTTACTTGTACCTTGTCTGTTAGCATGTGTGTGTGTTTCATCTTGTGGGCCTGATTATTTGCCATTCCTGTGTAAAGAATGCTGTTGCCAAAGACCCTTCCATATCCATTAATCAAGTTACCTGGAGCCCTGATGGAGAATTGATTGGTTAGTATCAATACTGTACCTTTTCAGCTGATACTTTGGTTGAGAAAAGAAACTAAGTAATACTCTGTTGAGCAATGATTTTCATTTAAACTTACATTTTGTTGTTTTAGGAGTTGCATTCACGAAACATTTGATCCATCTACATGCATATCAACCACCAAATGAGACCACGACCGTCCTAGAGGTACTGCATCAAACTCCTATAGATAATTAAAAATGCCATATAACATAAATTGTGTTACTATATATCTTTTTTCTTCATGTCAGATTGAGGCTCATTCTGGAGGTGTGAATGATATAGCATTCTCCCGACCAAATAAGCAACTTTGTGTGGTCACATGTGGAGATGATAAACTGATAAAGGTATGAGATGTGACTTGTCTGGAAAATTCATAAAATTTTTTACATGGCTTGTCTCCTTGAACTTCATTTTCGCTCTTTAGGTATGGGATATGCATGGACAGAAATTATTCACATTTGAAGGGCACGAGGCGCCTGTGTATTCTATATGTCCACATCACAAAGAGAGTATTCAGGTGCGTTGTCTGAGTAATATGTACACATCAACATTTCATTCTGGATGCATTACCAATCTTTGCTGTTGATGCCTTTTCTATACCTAGTTTTACTTTGTTGTTTGCTCTAGTTTAAATTTAGGGATTATGGCTATGGAGTTTCTACTACGATTATGGCATACAATATAGTGATATGCCTATTCAAATGGAAAAGAGGGAGGTCTGCATGTGGATGACTTTTAAGTGAACAGATGTTGATTTTAGCAGTATTTATGGTACCTCTGTTCTGTTCGCTATAGCATTTGTCCAAGAGCTGTCCGCACTGTTTATCATCAATTTTATCAAATTTCTAATTGATATTCCATTCTAATCTATTTAATTAATAGAAGAATGATCTTATCTAAATTTAAAATCCTTTGGATTATTCACTTATTCAGACAGCTCTATGTTATTATGTTACAATTTCCAGTACTCAGCAGCATTGTCAAAATCAAGTTTAATACATGACTTTCTTATGTTTGATGCAGTTCATCTTCTCAACTTCCCTTGACGGAAAAATTAAGGCCTGGCTTTATGACAATATGGGATCTAGGGTGGACTATGATGCTCCTGGCAAGTGGTGTACTACTATGCTATATAGTGCTGATGGGACTAGGTAAGAATAGATAGGTTGGCTCTTATTTTTACCACCAAAAGTAGTTCTAGTTGTTTCAATTTTTACTATTGAAACAATTTGCTTTTCCTTCATGTGAAGGTTGTTCTCATGTGGAACGAGCAAAGAGGGAGACTCATATTTGGTTGAGTGGAATGAAAGTGAAGGATCTATCAAGAGGACTTATTCTGGATTCCGTAAAAAGTCAGCTGGTGTTGCTGGTGTAGTGCAGTTTGATACAGCTCAGAATCACATTTTGGCTGCTGGTGAAGATAACCAGATTAAATTTTGGGATGTTGATAATAATAATATGCTGATCTGCACAGACGCCGAAGGAGGCCTCCCAGTTAGTCTCTGCTCTCTTTCATGTTTGTCCTTGTTTCTGGAGGGGTCAATCTAACCATTTTACGTTATGCCAGGCTCTTCCTCGCTTGAGGTTCAATAAAGAAGGCAATCTTCTTGCTGTTACTACAGTGGACAATGGTTTTAAGATACTTGCAAATGCTGATGGACTCAGAACTCTACGGCAGCATTAGGGAGCCGGCCTCCTTTTCAAGCATTTAGGCATAATATGAAGCTTCTTCTATGAAGGTTCCTACAGAACTTTTGACTGCTATTTTTATTTTGTGCTTCATAGCCTCGTTTTTAGATTGACCCTGACTCCTGACACTAATTTTGAATTTACAGGTCTCAGGTGCTCCTGTTGTTGCTAGCATCTCTCCTAACATAGGACGAATGGATCACTTGGACAGGAACTCTCCTGCAAAGCCATCTCCTATACTGGTATGGTGATTCATAGTTTAAGACAAAAAGTTCCTTGCTTACCTATTATCAATAATTGAAATAACATCTGACTTGATGATAAATTTGAATAGAATGGTGGGGATACAGCATCAAGAAGCATAGATATAAAGCCAAGAATCTCAGAAGAGAAGCCTGATAAAGCAAAACCTTGGGAACTAATGGAGGTCCTAAATCCCCAGCAATGCCGTGTAGCAACAATGCCAGAAACTCCTGACCAGACCAGAAAGGTTGGATTTTCTTGATGTATGTTTCACACTTGTCATCATGGAATATGCATGGGTTTAACATCTTTTGTGTACAGGTTGTCCGACTTCTGTACACAAATTCTGGTGTTGGGTTGCTAGCACTAGGGTCTAATGCCATTCAAAGGCTATGGAAATGGAGTCGAAACGAACAAAATCCGAGTGGAAAAGTATGTTTTACTTTTCTGTTGGTCTTTTGTATTTTAGGACAATCAAGGTTATGTTGTAATTTTTCCTGTCCTAAGCAGGCCACAGCCAGTGTTGTGCCACACCATTGGCAGCCAAATAGCGGTCTTGTCATGACAAATGATACAGCAGATACCAATCCAGAGGAGGCAGTCCCATGCATTGCACTCTCAAAGAATGATTCCTATGTGATGTCTGCTTGTGGTGGGAAGGTTTCTTTGTTTAACATGATGACATTTAAGGTAATGTCTTAACTATTTTATTCTGATGAAATTTTCAGACTTCAAGAAGATTTAATCATGCATCCTTCATGCAGGTGATGACAACATTCATGCCACCTCCACCAGCATCAACTTTTTTAGCATTTCACCCTCAAGACAATAACATCATAGCAATAGGAATGGAAGATTCAACCATCCACATATACAATGTCAGGGTAGATGAGGTAATAAATGCCTAATCTCTGATGCAGTTTATGATACTGTGAATAATTTAATTCAGCCTTCTGACCTTTGGGTTGTCAGGTAAAAACTAGACTCAAAGGACATCAAAAGAGGATAACTGGGTTGGCATTCTCCACCAACCTTGGTGTACTTGTTTCTTCAGGCGCCGATGCACAGGTTACTATTAATAATGAATTTCTTGTTTGTGTCCCAAGATAACCATGTTTTCAACAACCCTCATCTCCTTCCCTACCTCTCTTGTTTTTCTCTCTGAATTTACTTGCACCAATGAAGCAGTCACTGACTTTGATCTATTCAGCTCTGTGTGTGGACCAATGACACCTGGGAAAAAAAGAGAACAGTCTCGATACAAATGCCAGCTGGAAAGACTCCTTCAGGAGATACACGGGTCCAGTTTAGTTCTGACCAAAGTCACTTGCTAGTAGTACATGAGACTCAACTAGCCATATATGATGCATCAAAAATGGAGAGGATCTATCAGGTTGTACATCATATACTTGATCAAAAAGTACTATTTTCTCATTGCCTGATTGCCTATTAAATATGTTTCTCTTGTTTCAGTGGATACCCCAGGACACATTGTCAGCTTCCATATCACATGCATCATACTCATGTAACAGCCAGCTAGTTTTTGCTGCCTTCACTGATGGTAACATAGGTGTTTTTGATGCGGAGAACTTGAGATTAAGATGTCGAATTGCGCCATCGGTGATAAACAGGTACCCTCCTTGTACATTGGATACATATTATTTAGCTAAAGACCATGTGAGGATTTGGATGGGCCAGTGCATTTTCTGTTCACTTGTTAGCATTTGAGGTGTGATTCCAATGCAAATTCTCAATTTCAACCATTACATTATAGTTTGTGCAAGCCTTTTGATTTAAAATAAAAGAGAGGTGGGATGCTAAATGATTCTTTAGCCAAGTTTTTTATGGGTTCTTGCTTCTATGTGGTTTGGCTTAGTGATTAATCAGTTCTGAGAGTTAATTAGATCACTAATTGAGCATCATGTATATTATTGATTTTGTTGGTGGTTGAAGTCTTCATAGGTTACCATTACTGTTCTGATATTGTTGTGTTAAACTTGCTGGGCAATTGTTGACCTACATAGATCAACTCTCAAGTATCCGTAGTACCATTGAGCTGATTCAGGGCTTCAGGCAGCTGGGGTGCTATTCTGCCTCTGGGACTGCTGATCAATCATCAATCCCTGTATTGTGGGTGCATTATGGCAAATTCAGAAAATATTGGATAATGAACTTCTAGACATGCTTCTACGCTTGAGTGCCCGTTCATTTTACAACATAGATTGCCATAGTGCCATATGATCCTTATATATATAGCATCAGGAACCTAAGAAATGTCTGTTTCATGATTCCAGCAATCCACCTGTTCACCCTCTTGTCGTCGCCGCACATCCCCACGAGCCAAACCAATTTGCGGTCGGGCTGTCAGATGGGTCTGTTAAAGTGCTGGAGCCATCGGAATCCGAAGGGAAATGGGGAACGCCCGCTCCGGCAGACAATGGCATCCCCAACGGCAAGATGCCAGCTTCGTCGGCTACTAGTAACCCTGCTGCGGACCAAATCCAAAGATAGATTGTATTTCATAAGCATTTTTCTGTAAACTTTTTAATCACACTGACTTATTTGTATGTGGATGCTGTTAGGATATTATTGTCATTTGTTGGAAAAAGGACAGGATAGGTTTAAGGTCAGGTGTGGTTAACTTTCAGATGGAGATCTCTTTCAGATACTACCCTAGTTATCCTGTTCATGTTTGCGATAGGGGGTAATAGTGTCCATAAAGTGTGTCGCCTGAGGTTTTCTCAGGTTTAGCTCGAATGATGTAAGCTATATATTTCTTCATGCATGTAAAGCAATACATAGTTTTTGCTCAAGACCCATTTTTACCGTTTTTATACATGACTTGTGTTCTTCATGCTAGAAATGTAGCCACGTTTTGCGAGTGAGTAAAGGACCCGCAATTACCTCAAATACTATGGCGTGCTTGGATTCCCTGCCGACCCCGCCTTGCCTAGCCGGGCAAGGAGTTGTAATAATTGATGCATTTGGACCCTCTGCCCACTGCACTACCTCGTTGTCTGTGAAAGCAAGGATTCTACTTGATAGCTTGGGTGAGCTAAATTGGCTCTCCTGCCTTGGCAAGGTTAACCTTGCTCGGTGAGGAGAGGCAAGCAAGCCAGACAAGGGAGACAAGCTGACCTCAAAGGACCCCGATTCAGGGCTTCATGTCCTCTTTAAGTTCGATAATTATTCTAACAGGACGTCCGTCCGCAACAGTTATCCGGACGCGGCCACGCGCCCCGATACGTGACCCTCCTGTTCCCTTATCCCATCTTGTGACCACGCCCGCTCCCTTATTCCATCCCGTGAGCCCCCACTTCCTTATCCGCTCATGCCGTGACCGCCAAGGCCGTGAGATTCCGTTGCGCCCTGTGCGCTGAGGCTGAGCTGCCCAAGAGGAACCCTGGCGGTCGCTGCCCCGAGCGCCCCCGCCTACCCCTGCCAGCGCTGCTCCGCACACCCCGCGCGGCCGCTGCCCCGCGCCCCCGCCTAGGCCTGGCACTTGTCACTGAGCCGGGCTCCGCGCGTGGCCACGTGGCCGCTCATCCGCCGGCCCCCTTCTTCCTCGACGGCTAACTTTTTACGAAGGCAACGCTTTTCATGTTGCAGCTGAATAAATTTGATGTTGCAATAGCGTTGTTCTGCTGTTGTAACAAGTAATATTTCTTTGTTGCATTAGTCTCTTTTTTTTGTTTCTGATGTTGCATCTTGCATTGTAGTATCCTTGTTCTGATGTTACAACAAGTAATATTTCTTTGTTGCATTAGTCTCTTTTTTTTTTTTGATGTTGCTTATCGCATTGCGCTTTGTCCTATTGTTGTAATAGCCTTGTTCTAATGTTGCAACAAGTAATATTTCTTTGTTGCATTAGTCTATTTTTTTTTTCTGATCTTGCATCTCGTATTGCAGTAGCTTTGTTCTGTTGTTGCAATAGTATGTTACGATGTTTGCGGTAGAATTGTTCTGATGTTGCAAATAAGTAATACTTCTGATGTTACATCTCACATTGCTCTGGGGCGACGAAGCATGGTGGGGATGGGGGCGCGGAGGGCAACGGGCGCGCAGAGGATGGCGGCACAGCGGGGGATGGCGATGCGACATGGCACGGTGGCGTGGCGGGGGATGGCGACGCGACGAGGCACGGCCGCGCGGCGGGGGACGGGCCGCACGTGGGGGCACGCTCGTTTTCAGATGTGGTGGCGCGCTCGTTTAATTGCATCGGATAGGTCCGCTTTATTCATGTCGTTGTTTTTTAATTGATGAGATTTGTACCACTCTTATTATCTCAATCGGATGGTCCCGAGGGACGTCCGGACGCGTGCTCGTGCCGGATGTCCGGGCGCTAGTTGCGTCGCTTTAAGTTTCAATACATAGATAGATTGTCCTGCCATAGTTCAGCTAAAATGTCAAAGCATTGCTTTGGTTTGGTTGTTGCCAAGCCCTGCCAGCAATGGCACGCCAGTACGCCACTATCTTGACTTCTTGAGCCCCGTTGACACAAGAGGCGAACACTGAGGGGCTCATCGATGAGCCGCTCGGAAGGGTGTACCAACTACCAAGCAATTAAGGTGCCGTTTGAGTGTTTGGTTCGGGGCTTAGTGCACGACCAACGTAGTTCAGAATGTAGTATTATATTGATAAAAAGATTCACTACCAACTAATTTTACAATGCAGCTTATTTTTTCTATGTTTTTACCTGCTCCCATTGTCTATAACTTCATGCACGTCGTTTTCGTTCTTAATTTGACCTACTAGTTCTCTCTTGACGGCCATTGCCCTGTTCGCTTGGCTGATAAGCCATGGCTGAAAGTACTGTTGGCTGATTTGTTGTGAGAGAAAAATACTGTTCGTTGGCTGAAAAAGTACTACATATATTTGAACAATAAAAGGTAAGGCGAGCCCTCGCGCCGCTCTCCGTGCAGGGCGACATGGGCGGCGAACCTTCCACCCCGGCCGCCACAGCCCCTCTCCCTCGCCGCTGCGCCTCGCCGCCGCTAGAGCAGCCGCTGGGATGCCTGTGCAACTCCCAAGGACGGCGGCGGCGAGGTTCTCGAGCCCCAACCGGTTCTGCGAAGGGCGCATCTCCATCTGACCGGGGCCGGGTGTGCCAGGCTGCTCTCTCGCCGGCGTGGGGAGCTACTGCTTGGGCGTCTGGTCGGCAGGCCGACTGTGCACCGCTCGGTGGAGAGCTTCTCCCCACGGCCCTTCTCCCCCCGGCCCTCCTCTGTTCTCACGGTGCTGAGGATGCCGGATGCCTACGACGGTGGCGGCAGCTTCGCCTCCGCACAGGCCGGATCCAGTGCACCCGCTGCCTGATTGAAAGGGTTGAGATGGCAACTAGAGGGGGGGTGAATAGTCTTTTTTAAAACTTAATCGCGTCGGCTAACCGAAACAAGTGCGGAATTAAAACTATCGGTCTAGCCAAGACTACACCCCTCTATCTATGTTTTTAGCACATTTCAAATATACCAATTAAGCAATTAAGGTGCTGGGCTAGCTAGAGCTCACCTAAGCAATTTTAGGAGCAAGGTCACACAAACCTATGCCACTAGTACTTTAAGCGACAAGGGAGCTCCTACACAAGCTATTAAGCAAAAGCACAAAGCCACCTAAGCTCACTAACAATGCTCAATAACAAGGCAACCAATGCCAAATTAGAGAGTGCAAATACTTAGCTACACAAACTAAGCAATGTGACTAACAAGGTTACTCAAACCAAATTAGCCACGCAAGAGAGCTACTTCTATGCTACACAAGCAAGAAGGTAACTAATATGCTACACAAGCAAACTAATTACAAGAGCAACTACACAAGCTTAATATATATGAAAGTAAATGCAAGCTTGTGTAATGGGGAAGCAAACCAACGGGAAGAACAAGGTTGACACGATGATTTTTCTCCTGAGGTTCACGTGTTTGCCAACACGTTAGTCCCCGTTGTGTCGACCGCTCACTTGGTGGTTCAGCGGCTAATTAGCATCACCCGCTAAGCCCGCACGTCGGGCGCCGCAAGAACCTACCCCTTGAGTGAGGGTAGCTCAATGACACACTTTACTAAAGTTGCTCTTCGCGGCTCCCGCGGGGCGAACACAATGCCCCTCACAAAGCTCTTCTCCGGAGCCCCACACAAGCTTCTTGTGGGCTTCGACAGAGACCACCACCAAGCCGTTTAGGAGGTGGCAACCTCCAAGAGTAACAAGCACCACCGGCTTAAAACTCGATCACCTAGTGCCACTCGATGCAACCTCATGGTGCAATCGCACTAGAATTGCTCACTCACACAATCGAATGATCACTATCAAGTATATGTGTGATAGAGGGCTCCCAAGCACTCACAAGCATGGACACTAAGTCCCCTTAGGTGCTCAGCACTCGCCATGGCCGAGAGCTACTTCTATTTATAGCCCCATGGGCTAAACTAGCCGTTACCCCTTCACTGGGCAAAAGTCGGGCCGACCGGACGCTCCGGTCATGTTGACCGGACGCTGGACCTTAGCGTCCGGTCACCCGCAGATGGCCACGTGTCCCGATTCCAATGGTCACTTCACTTGATCGGACGCAGCAGCTTCAACTGACCGGACGTAGCAGCCACATCGTCCGGTCGTTTCCAGTAAGGTACCGAACATGACCGGACGCGTCTGGTCGATCGTGATCGGACGCAGCACCAGCGTCCGGTCACTTCCAGCTTCTCCTCTGCCTGCGTCACCATACGTCAGCTCTGACCGGACATAGGACTCCAGCGTCAGGTCACTACGTGACCAGCGTCCGGTCCACTCTGTGAGACCCTGTCTTTTCTGTATAGGGCGCCAGTGGCACCGTTGGATTGTCCGCACTCTACGGGCGGACACTCTGCCGGTGGAGTTTCTCCTTTCACCTCCATTTCTTCACCGAGTTGATCCACATCAACTTCAACTTCATTTCCTTTGTAAATGTGCCAACCCCACCAAGTGTACACCACCATGTGTATGTGTGTTAGCAATTTCTCAATCATTTTCCAAAGGATTAGCCACTCAACTTGCCACGCCACTCGATCCTAGCGACGATGTAAAGTTAGATCACTCGAGTGGCACTAGATAACCGATATGCAAACAAGTTTGCCCCTCTTGATAGTACAGCCATCTATCCTAAATCCGGTTATAAACTTCTCTACACACCTATGACCGGTGAAATAAAATGCCCTAGGTTATACCTTTGCCTTGCGCATTCCATTTCATCTTCTCCAACGTCGATGCAACACATGCACCAACACGATCAATAATGATATGATCCACTTCATATCATCACGTGATCATATTGGTTCATCGATCTTGACTTCACTTGCTCTTCACCGTTGCCATCGTCCATCGGCGCCAAGTCTTGCTCAAGCTTCACAGCCACGCGGTCCATCACTCCAAAGCCTCCGACTTGCCCTTCACGCTTGCAACCGGTCCATCAAGCCAAGTCTTGTCTTGATCTTCTCCACCTTGATCACATGACTCAATGTCATGTCTCACGTGCAATAAGCTCCTTCAT